TTGATGAGCCTGTTATCGAGGCTGCTGTTGAAATTGACATTGCTGAATTGGAGGGGCTTGATGATTTGGGGTCACCATTGTTGGGCGGACAACCGGAGTGACTGCCACAACATGTGAATAGCCTCTCCTTGGTCTCCCAGGAAAAATTACACTGACATCTTGTTCTTTCCTCTTAGGGAAAACACTTCCAAACTTCTTGACACCACTAGACGTACTTCCTTCCTTGACCAAACGTCCCTCACGAATTCCTTCTTCCAGCCGCATACCCATACTTACCATCTCAGTGAAGTCACTGGGCACACTCGCAATCATTCTTTCATAATAGAAAGAACCTAAAGTTTTCAGGAATATCTTTGTCATTTCTTTCTCTTCAATAGGGGGATAAATCTGAGCAGCAATCTCGCGCCACCTCTGGGCATATTCTTTAAAGGACTCTCTATCTTTCTGGGACATCGCCCGGAGTTGATCTCGGTCCGGCGCCATGTCGACATTGTACTTGTATTGGCGAACGAAAGCTTCACTAAGATCATTGAAATTACGGATTCGGGTGCTATCCAAACCCATGTACCATTTCAGAGCGACACCATTCAAACTGTCTTGGAAGTAATGATTTAATAAATTATGATCCTCAGAATATGTAGACATCTTTCTTACATACATGGTTAAATGACTTCGCAGACACGAGTCACCTTTGTACCTTTCAAAGTCCGGTACCTTGAACTTCACTGGAATCTTTACATTTAGAATTAAACACAAGTCATGAGCATTCTTTCCAAACAAATCTTTTCCTTTCAGTGCTCTGATTTCCCTCTACATCTCTTGAAATTGGTCTTAAAACTCCTCCATTCTATCGAAAAGACCTAGACTTTCAGCAGGCTCAGCATGATAAATAGGTTCATTCATGTATGGAATAGTATGAACCACATGAGCAGCAGTAGTCATCACTGGTTGAGGGAAAGATACCACAGCCGGAATTATAGGTTGCACAGTTGTTGTCTCCGGTTGAGGAAAGGACACAGCAGGTTGAATCAAGGATTGTACAGCAGGATGATACCCTTCTGGAATGAAGTTATAAGGAATTCCCCAAGGAAAACCTTTCGGCATTTTATGTTGAAGCGGAGAGTTGACTTGAGTCACAGATGTTGGAGCGGTGACAATCTCAGAAACCACAATAGTTGAAGTTTGAATCTCAACAGCTGAAGTCGATGGCTGATTCTGAGCAGTAATCAAGCTTTCCACTAGCGCAGTTAACTTTTCCATTCTGACACGAAGAGTAGTAACCTCTTCGCGAAGCTCGTGATTTTCCTGTTCCAGATCTTCCATCTTCCTTTGACGATTGGCTCGGGTATCGTACTGGTGAGACAGCTTGACAATCTATCGGAGTGGAAAAAGAAACAAGGATAAGACTCTAGAAAACATGTGAAGTTGAATGTTGGATGATGCATGATATGCGATGCAAATTATCATTTATTTTGATAGTTTTTTCAAGGAACTTTAGAACTTTGATAACTTTGCACACATCAATGGTAAAGGAATTTGGAACAACAAAACTCATTTCATTAATCAAAGCGGTAAATTACAACTTACATCTTTGGGACAACAAAAACAATAAATTACAACTTTGGGACAACAACCCAATAATAAAAGTAGTAGATTAAAACTTTGGGACAACAACCCAAGAATAAAAGCAGTAAATTACAACTTTAGAACATGAAGCCCTTTTACAGAGTTTTACAAAATGACATCAGTAAAAATAATAAAAACTAAGAACTAAAGGTCACTCAGAATCATCAGATGAAGGACCAAATGCCAACTGTAACTGGAGCTTCCTAATCTTCTCTTCATAAAAGTCTTCCATCTCTTTCTTCTCAGCTACCATTTGATCAATGATTTCCTTTCGTGGATTAGGAACAAGAGCGACGCCTACCAAATCTTCCTTCTTTCTCTTCCTTTGATTAGCATATTTCCTGAGTAATGCATCCTTTTGACGAAGCTTCTCATCATGATCAATAAACTATCCATCTTGAATAAATAGTAAATCCTCCTTTTCCTTCAGCTGTCGAGTCAGGACCCTATTCTCGTATTCAGACATATTATACTTTTCCTTCCAAGCATCTCTTTCGGACTTCATCCTAGCCAGACTTCCTAGGTATTCTCTCATGTTCTCGATGAGGATATCAATAGATGATGATGCAACAGTAGGGAATAAAGGTTTCTCGGGGTTATAAGGCATCTTGAGAGCACAAGCCCTAGCACGAACCCATTGTAGGTAAGGCTCCAAAGAAACAACACCTCTATGCCCCAACATGTCTCTCCCCTTTCTATGGATGTGACGCCAAGCTCTTTCAATCTCCTCCTTAGCTGCTCGGTGATCTTGTCCTTCTTCTAGAAAGAAACCACTCACATGAATATTGTTCGGCTTGTCCCTCATCGGGTATCCAAACTGACGGCACACGAGAACAGGATTATAGTTAATTCCTCCTTTCGTACCAAGCAGAGGCACGCTAGGAAAAGCACCACAACTATCGATGATCTTTATGTCATAGTAAACTCGATTATACCAATCTATGTCGGAATGAGTGAGAGCCATAATTTTTGGCGCCCATCGTGGCTCCTTCTCGAGATCCTATAAAACATCAGACCTAGGTAGATGAGAAACATACCACTGATACAGCAACGATGCACAACAGATGATCATCCATCCTTGATATAAGTTTTGAAGATGGATGGAGTAGTAGGTATCTCCTAGCAGTGTAGGGTCTGGATTTCCAATCAAGAAGATTCTAATGGCGTTGATATCCACGAACTTATCAACATTAGGGAACAAGAATAGGCCATAAGCGAGTAAAGCAAAGACATCTTCAAAGGCAACAATATCTTTTATCTCAGCGAAATGACGAGCTTTCTTCAACAAAAACTGCACAGATAAGCCTCGGATTCCCCCTTTGGTAGTCATGTTCTCCTCTATCTCCGACTTCCTCAAATGGGTGATGGTTGCTATCTCGTGAGATTTGGGTTCCTCTTCTAAGCCATAAAAAGGAACACAGTCGGTGATCGGCAAACCAAGTATGTAGGAGTACTCTTCTAAGGTGGGCATTAACTGGTAATCAAGAAAGGTGAAGCATCGGTACAATGGATCATAGAATTGGACCAGCGTACTAAGGATGCCTTCCTTCATCTTGTGCTTCATGAGAGGTATAATGGACCCATATTTCTTTTGAAACTCCGTCGGGTTCTCGATCTTAGGAATCAAACTCTTCAGCTCTTCAATCTCATGCTCCTTAAAACTATAACTTCGAGTATTTCTTCTTACAAACTCCATAATAATGGTACCTGAGATGTCTGCAAAAATCATTCTTAAGTTCCTTGAAAACATGTTTTTACAAAAAATGTTTATGGATGTATGGATGAATGATAATGCAACAATCACACATAAGTTCACAAACATGGGGTTCAAAGGTTCAACGCTTCGAGCATGGAGTCAAAGGTAAAGCCCACCCCCAGGGTATGTACTAAAGGTTTAATCACACCTGCAAGACAAGGTTCTAAGAGTTCCTAGAGTCTACGTTCCTCCTTCGGATATTACCAACATCTTGATTACTCAATAATTAGCAATATTCTCAAGAGAAACTCATCCGAGCGTAGCCTCGCGTGACAACTACTTTTGTATTACTCCATTATAGTCTCCGCGCTACACCTAAAAGGCTAAGATGGGTTAGGGTTCTACGGTTCTCAGCTTCTCTGGCTCCCAGGTCGAAAATAATAATGTCTTCCTGATTACTCGGTAAACAAATACTACGTTCAAAAGGGTCTTCCACTAAGTGGGAGATTTCATGCCTCCTTCTTCGGGATTACTCCCTCAAAGTTAAGATGACTATATCGCTCGTCCTATTCTTAAGTGTAACTTAGTCCGGATATAGGACTTGTCCTTTGCAAAAACCCAAATAACCACAATATAAACATATAATCAAACAATCAAATAATGATAAAAACAGATAAAACAAACTAGGCTTAACCCACTTAGGGATGGACCAGCAAGAGGTCAATCTTTCCCCAGCAGAGTCGCAATTTCTGTAGCGATAAAAATGGTAGTGGGGTAAATCGGAGATCGAGCTATTAATTAACTCGTCTCACAAAAGCAAGAGTCACCACCACGCTTTATTATTTCCAAGGGAAAATGAAAAAGAGCGAAATAAAACCCTAAAATATACAATGTAAAATGATACTTGAAAGTAATGAAAATACAAGGCGTTTTGAAAAGAGATCTAGAGTTCGGGGGTTGGTTATACAATGGGAAGGTATTAGCACTCAATGTATCTATAGTATCCTATAGGAACCTTTTGAAATATCTGTTTATTAAAATTGTTTGTTTGATTAAAAATAGCTTGTTTGGCCAAAAATGGGTAGGGACGAGATTTTGAAGATACGACAACCTAACGTCGAAGTTTTGACTTAAAAGGTATGAGTTTTGAAAGTTGAACATTTGAGAAAATTATCTTAAGTTTTTTAACAAAATAATAAACGAAAGATGAATGAGGGTATTCGCACGATTAGACGATACGTGTTTGATGACATGAAGTCAACAAAATTAAAACAATTCCCTTGGATTTGAGACGGACGAAAGATATAACGATCAATGATAAAATTAATCAAAATGACAATTGAACAATTAACTAATGTAAATTAAATCATACTAGCATGAATTTTAACGATTAAATAAATAAACAAAATTACATAAAGACTAAATTATAACATCATGGATTTTTAATAATTAAAACAAATAACAAGAATTAAATCATGAAACATGTATTTTTTGAATAATTAAATAAACAACAACAAAAAATTAAATAAAAATTAATAGCATGTTGACAAAATTAAATAAAAGATGAATTTTAATTAAACATGTTTTTTATTATGTATTGTAATTAAATAATAATAATACAATAAAGTAAACTAATATAATCAAATTGAGAGGAAAAAGCTTAAAAGAACTGAAAAAAATGCCCCAGCAAGAGTTGAACTCGGGTCTTAAGGGTAATGGGTAGTATGCCTTTCCAGTTGAGCTATGTTGTTTTTCGTTATATCCATATTTTTATAAGTAAAGGAACATTGGTAAAAATGTTGGACCAACAGGCCCAATGGGCCGACCCGCTTTTGGGAAAAGAAACAAGAAAAAAGTTTTGTAACCCTAACTGCTAAGTGAGAGGCGCGGCGGATAGCTTTGGAAAAGAAGAAAAGATTAATTATTATTAATGAATAAACAATTAAAGAGAAAACTAAAAAATAAAAAAACACTCTTCCCTCTCTCTCATGGATTACTCTTCCATCTTCCTCTCTCTTTCTCTTATCCATCACTAACCCTCAACATCTCTTGCAAAGGAAACTCCAATCCAAGCCGAACTAACTCAGCATACCGCGGCTTAAACCTCCTTTTCCTCGATAACCCTTTTGTGTTCTTCCATCAAGTCTTCAGCTTTATGCGTCAAACCACACCATAACACACCATTACGACCCTGATAGAGTTCGAAAAGCTTCGGGGTTTTGCAAAGAAAATCGGAGATTCTGTGAGGTTTGGGGAGGTTGATTTGTATGAGGAATGTGAACAGATGGTGATTCATAGAGATGTGAAAGCTGGGAGTGCGCTTTTGGATTGTGAGATGAATGCGAGGTTGGGTGATTTTGGTTTGGCGAAGCTTTATGATCGTGGTGAGAATCCGAACACAACGAGGGTGGTTGGGACTTTGGGATATTTAGCGCCGGAGTTAACGAGGACGGGGAAGCCGACGAAGAGGTATGATGTGTTTGCGTTTGGTGCATTGTTGTTGGAGGTGGTTTGTGGGAGGAGAAATAGGATTTTTTGTATACGATATCGTCGGTCGGTGATGACATGGACGGTGGGTATGTTTCGTCTTTTACACTTTCCGGTAGCCGGTAGGCCAGGAAGTTGGATAGCGCTCAACAAAGATCACCGCGTGTTTATCTTTCACTTTTCTTTTATTCTATTTTTTATTAACTATAGATATTTTAATGTTTTTTTGACAGGTTAGGCTGGTTTTAACATGAGGTTTTGGAACAAGTTCGAATATTTTGTAACAGTTTCTAAACTGGTTTGCCGGTTAAGCTGGTTTTAAGATGGTACAGGTTTCGGTTTTTGGATGGCAGGTTGCATTGATTTTGCAGATTATTGGTTTTTGGATGGCAGGTTTGATTTTGCAGATTGTATGGTTTTTGACTAGCAGGTTATAAGTTTTGGTAATAGGTTTTAATTTTTTTTTAACAGATGCTAAGATTAACTGCAGGTTTTAGTAACAACAAGTTTTTTAGGATTTTTGTAACAGCAGGCTTTAGCGGCTTAACAACTTGAGGTGAGTTAGGATGAATTGAATCACATAAAGCAAGTTTCTACAGTTTTTATTTCTGATATTCTTTTAAAAAACTGTTTTCTTTTTGGTGTTTATTAATACTAACATTTTCAAAATGTAACAAATTGCAGCAATCAAAAAAATACCTCAAGGAAAGTAATGAGGAAGAAAGCATCGTATGGCAGAAAAATGGCATAATAGATGTGTGATGCGGTGGGAGAACTGACTTGAAGGTTTGCATTTTGTTGCAAATGTCGCGGTTAGCAAGAGTCGCCACCGACTTTTCTTTTATCCAAAAGGAAAGGTAAAAAAAGCACAGGAAAGACCTTTGAGATTTTTTCTTGAGTTCGGGGGGTAGATTATGAAAAGGGAAGGTGCAAGCACCCTTTTCATCCATGGTTTTCCATGGGCTCTTAGTTACTTGTTTAGATCACTTGCTTTGTTTTGTTTTAAATGGTGTTTGGTGTGATTTTGAAAGTATTTTGTAAAAGAGGCCATTTGTTTTGGCAATCTTTGTAATGATTATCGTTCGTAAGAATGTATACAAAGATGTTTGTCTTTTGAAAATGTTTTCAATGTTTTTCAAGATGTTTTTAAATGTGTGTGTGTTTGTTTTTAAAAATAGCAAGGATTGTTTGAAAAAGAGCAAGTAACTTAGAATCTATCTACCTACTCAAATGTCTTTCTTGTGCATTTTCTATTCCTTTGACATTGTTGACTTACCATTGATTTGGTAAGCAACCCTATCTTTGGATGTAAACTGGACGGGCGTGGGTCATCGTATAACCATGATAGCAATGTTGCCAAGTATCTTAGCATTTTTGAGGGACCAATATCATTTTGTAAGGCAACTTTTGAATAGCTTCATCGAGGGTGTTGTACCCCAAAATTTGCCCTCTCTTTTTCACAAGAAAATCACAACCCTAGGGTTTTCTCTGATTTTTAAGGATTGGCTCAAGAATCGATCAAACAGACTTTTCTTTAGCAGTTAATCCAGGATTAGGGTTTTCTCTCACATCTCTCAGAAGAAATTGAATCCTCGGAAATCGCTTGTTCAAATTTACTGATTGTTCTCAAAGCCTGATTATCTGGGATAAGAGCTGAGAATTTTGTTTGGCACATTAAGGCGTCTTCTTGGTAGTGGAGTGAAAGGTTTACCATTTAATGGAAATGTTTGTTTGTTTGGAATGCACAACGCGTATGTTAATTGGAATACTGATGCAAAGAGATTGCAGAGTTTTTATGGATTACTTGGATTTTAAGTCATCTGTATTGAAAATGGTGGAATGCAATTTCAGTCATTATTTTTAATCAGGAATCTTAAATATAAAAGTGAAGAGGCAAAGGAAAAATTGAAAAGATATTTGACAGTAGAAATTTTCTTTTGGATAAAGACTTTTATTTACTTCAAATGTTGTTACAAAATTTATTTGAATATTGTAAGATTACAACTTATAGTATTTAAGATAATATTTGTTTACAATAAATGAAAAAATAAATCTAAGCCTAATCTCCTAAGATCTTTGACTTCTACTGCTTCCTCTATCATCCAATTGGTACTCACCTGCAAAAGACGGAAGAAAAGAGATTAATATAGAATAATTTTCAATTGAAAAAGAAAGAAAAGAAAACATCATTAAAGTTTGTCGGCCGGAATCAGAATGCTATTTGTTCATCATGTTTTTATTATTCTCTTTGCAAATCGCAAGAAGATCGCTCTTCTTGGTTCACAAAGGGAAAAGTAAAAGATATAAAATATAAGCATACAATTGGTTCAAATACAAAAACATAAACAAGTCAGCAAAGAAAACTGCACTGTAAACTAAACCCAACTGCAGTAATCAAACCAAGTCAGCAAAGCAACTAAGCATGCCAAACTGAATGCAAAATTGTCAAGTAAGCCAACTAGCAAAAGCATACAAGTGCAGAAAATATGCAATCAAAATTACACAGTACAGAAAATGCAGCAGGTAATACAATGCAGAGGAAAACTTGTTGACAAGCAAGAGGCTTGTCAAAGCCATCATCATTTTCCTAGGCAAACTTTTCAGAAGTACAATATAATAAGCAAAGGTGCTTAGGAGAGGGAGGAGAGAGAGAACCTTTAGTGAAAATTTGCAGTTTGGGCAAAAAGCAGGCTGTTTCAAATTTTAAAGAAAAAATAAAAGATATATAACAGTCTAGCATCTAACTCCATAAGGAAAAGAAAAATATTAAACTCAAAAACTTGCAAACCTACAGAATATCATACAAGTTCAACAAGCTAAAAAATAAACAACAAAATGCAAACCTGCAGTTCCAACTGCAAATCAAACAACAAAATGCAAACCTGCAGTTCCAACTGCAACCCAAACTCTAAACCTGTTTGGCCAAAACTGCAAGTCAAACAAAACACAAAAAAATCAAGCCTGCATTTCAAACCTGCTAGTAGAAACATCAGGACCAAGTAAGCCCACCAACAAAGCTTGCTCAAACCTGTCCAAACTACAAACTCAAGTTAGCTCAAAACCTGCATAAACCTGCTAGCGAACTACAACAAACTTGCATTTCAAACTGCAAAACTGTGAAACACAACCAAAACCCTCAAACCAAACTGAAAACAAACTTTACCAAACAATCTGTAGAACCCAACTGTTTGGCCAAACTACAAACAAGCAAACAGTTTCAGAGATGTATCATCATTAACGTACAAAAACACCAGAGATTCAGAAGCAAATAAAGTTTCAAAACTTCTGTCAATCATCATTCAAAAACAGCAGTTTCAGGTCTCATCATTAACATACAAAAAAGAGGAAGAGCATTCAGAAGCAAAGCAAACAGTTTCAGAATTTGTTTCTTCAACAAGCAAATCAACAACAAGTCTCAGAAATACATCATTAAAGAGAGAGGGAGAGCATTTCAGAAGCAAGTCAAGAATCAACAGGTTTTCAAAATTTGTTTCATCATCAAACAATCAACAAACCAAGAAAGAAAACAGAGATACCAGAAAAGCAACCATTATCACGTTCTTCCTCCGCCTAGCCTCCAAGGAGCGCCTCCGTCTCACATCTCTCTCCCTCCATCTTTTTCAGAAACAAAACCCTCAAGGTATGTCCCTCAAACCCTTACTGCATGTAAACATCAAAGGTTAAAAGATCAAACATGCAAGTAACTTGAGGAATCAAACGAACATTGAAACTGTAAAAACCCTGAAAATCAGAACAAGATAAAACTATAGTGTTTACAAACAAACGCGAGATCGTTGCAAAGAGAAGGAGAGAGTTAGGGTGGTGTTCCGGTAGCTAGGCTCAGAGAAGAATCAGCGCATGCATCGTGACTGAGAAAGAAGAGACGAAGAAGAGAGCAAAAGGAGGCGCTGCTGTAAAGCCAAGATTACAAACCCTAAAGAATGAACAAACCCCAAAAACATTGTACCATTTGCCCTGGGCCTGACCTGCCCCAAACTGTGCCAAGCCCATAACGCTTTTGCCTGCACCCCCGTATCCATTCTGACCCCCTCTTCTCTCCATTCAGACTTTTTCTTTTCTTCCATTTTGGGCCTAATCCCTTATAATAATTTCCTAAGCCCACCACTTGCTTTAATTTAATTTCTTTTCTTTCATTTTAAACGAATACTCTTTCAATTATTTTTATTCTAAATAATTTCTTTTTGTTAATAATAAGAAACAAATAATAGCTTAAATTTTATTTGGATTTTCTCAATATAGTTTTTTAATATATGTTACATTTATTAAAAATACATAATAGAAACTTTGTTCATTTAATTTTTTCTTTTAAAAACTTTTCTTTTCATAATTAATAAAACCCTTGAAAATAATAATATAACTTTTAATCTTTCTTTTAGAATAAATTTTTATTTGTAAATAGATACATGCATCTCATAATTTACTGATTTTCCTTAATTTGTTATAATTTTACATTGAATTGCGACAGTTCAATTTGGTTGTAACACCTCATATTTGGACATCATTATTATTGTGAGACTCATCCCCATTTGTAAATAATTGTACCCCCATCCCCGGATACCTTTTTGTAATAACTTAGACTTTAAATTCCCGCAATTTATTGTTTTTAATATACTGTATAGTAATTAGGGTTTGTATGGCAAGATTAAAAATCAATCGCTAGATGACCTAATCCAAGAATAAATGCATGAAAATTAATACACAGTGCACACTTGCACCCCTAGGGTAACCTCGCTTGTTGCCTCAGAAAATGCAATCATGTCCCTCGAGTATGAGATACTCTAGCAAATGCCCCTTCGATAAACAAAGATCGTAGTCCCTTGATGACCCTCGATGTTGCCTTTGATAAAACGATCTCGTCCCTTACAAAATTGCTAGAGCGTCTCACAAGTTGCTTTCAATGATTGTATACGATGACCCGCGTCTGTCCCGTTTAACATCCTAACACAAGGTTGTTCACTAAATACAATGGTGAAATAACACTGTCAAAAGGGTTAAAAACATAAGAAAGATCTTTTTGAGTAAAATAGGGTAGACAACTCTTAGTTACTTGATCAAAAGCTTGCAAAACATTCTTGCCATTTTCAAACACACTTCACAACACAATTTCAAAATATTTTCCCAAAACAACTTTCAAACATTGAAATATCTTTTCAAAAAGACACACACCTTTGTATATATTCAAACAAGAATTGTTACAAAAGGTTGCCTAGATAAGGCCTCTTTTTCAAAGCTATTTCAAAACCACACACACAAAGCACCATTTCAAACAATTGAAAAGCAAAGGCAAGTGATCTAAAACAAGTAACTAAGAGCCCATGGAAAACCATGGATGAAAAGGGTGCTAGCACCTTCCCTTTTCATAATCTACCCCTCGAACCCAAGAAAACATCTCAAAGGTCTTTCCTG